GTGCTGCCCCACCCAGTTTCAGACTCACCATACACCATACTTCTACAATGAACCTCAGTCTGTATTTCCCTTACACTGAGATTGATCTTCAGGAAAGAGCTCAGTCAGCGGTCCTTCCCGAGTCTGTGCATGAGAAAGAAATCATGAATCGACCTTCGCAGCATTAATTAAAGTCCTTCATCCAGATGATGATCATTTTCACACACGACAGCTCTCTCAGACAACTATCTTCCCTCAGAAACTGACTCTCCTTTTTGTTCATAAGCCCTTCTAGTTGTAAAAATGTCATTTCCTCAAAAAACAACGCTTTTTGTAAAACTTAATATCACAACAGATTAAGCAAAGGACACTAAATACTTGCAACCGATATGGCAATAACGATATTTTGAAGTTACGGGACCAAAAGTTTCCCTTTACCTATCCATTCTGTGGGATATCCAGGTGAAACTAATTTAACTTTAGAACTATATTGGACAGGTCCACGAGATAACAGGAGATTTGCTCCCGATGTCTGTTAGAGAGAATTACTAAATCTCTTAGTAACTGAATCAAAATATAATGAAATAATGAAACTGGAATCAAAGTGAAACACGAATGAACGATCTTTATTAAACGCTAAACACAAACACAATGTGTGTACTTGCTGTTACTTACATGGGGCGATCGCTCGCACTGAATCACAGGACTGACTACTAAAGATCAAATTCTAGATTATGCTTACTAAATTATGTTCCAGACCAGTCTGACTAAATGCAATGTTCGTTAGCACGTAAGAAACTTCGCATTTATCTAGGGCAACATGCGCTAATTACATGACTGGATATTCATATTACAACATAGGTGGGAGCCATAACCTCTAGACAATACCTGTACAACTGTTGAAGGACACTGTTGCCCATTGTTGCCAAGTCCGCTTATAATAAGTGGAATTGACCTTGATTTTTTTTAAGTCGCTTTAATTTTTGAGAATAGTGGGTTGCGGTTTTTGGGCTTGTTTTTATTCTGAGGCCGCTTATTTGGGCTTTTTTTTTGTAATAATAATATACTTCAAGACACAACAAAATGTTTGTAGGACTGGTTTCTGTGATTGACTGGGACAATGAATAGCCTACATATTACAAGTTTATAATCATCCTATCTCCATTACTGTTCAGTTAAGATTACACCACAATTGTGAACTTTCTGGCCCGCCCACTAGATCCATACTATATTCCAGTTAAGTCGTGCAAATAGCCATTTTGAGGGTAAGCCATAAAATAAAAGTTGTTTCGAAAGTCGGTGTCGCTTGTTTTTCTTGTGAGACCTAGCAACACTACAGTTGTCGAATCCTTACACAGCCTTCCGTATTGACCAACTTTTCTATCGCGCGGTAACAGGTAATATTATCTATTTCCGAGAACAACAAAGGAATAACCTGCGCAAATGAATAACAAAAATAAAATTAGAATAAGTACTATAATAGTACAAGAAAGCAGATAGCATGGTATATTCAAATATCACAAGTCAAAACCTTGTGGCACAGTGGTACGTCGTACTCTCTAAGTGCCTTTCTAGTATTTTTTTCATATTATCTCATAACTTTGCAAATATAAATTGCTAATACATTACAGCATATTTAGCTTAACGTTTTCACAGTCTTGTGCATAAAATTTAGATTAATATAATTTGAGTTAGAATGTTACTGACTGTTTAACACATATGAATGACAAAAAACCGAATAAAGTTGATGCTCTTTTTTCATGATTCATAATGAAGCTGGGAAACCAGGTTAGAATCCGTGCGACATCACAAAATATTCTCCGTAGTTTAAGCTGTGGTTGAATTGTAAGAGTGACAATCAATCCCTTAGTTTGTATAGTGGGTGGTAGATGCTGCCTTCCCTGTACAGTGGCGTCGTGTCCATGGGCCACAGGTGGGTACATTCCTCCCTCCTCCCACACACAAATGCTTTCTACATACTGTTTTAATAATTCTAAATTCGTATATAAACATTTGATTGATGTGTACAAAATATTTGTTAGTATTGGAAACCAATAGATTAATCAAAGTAACAGCGGGAATTTAATAATCTGAAAAGAAGAACGTGTCACTTATTGTTATTATTATTATTAACCCATCAATGATAATAAAAGTATTGTTACGACAGCGGTAGTCACGTGACGCTGGTAACACGTCATGATATTCTAGAAGGATCGGGAAACATCACAAATAATCTAGTATGTGCTAGGTGCCCTCTATTCCTGTATATAAGTGCGCCGGATAACGTGAGACAAATTATTTGGAATTGAATTGCAGACAGGTAGATATAAAGTTTGTTTGTTTGTTTTGAATTTCGCGCAAAGCTACACGAGGGCTATCTGCGCTAGCCGTCCCTAATTTAGCAGTGTAAGACTAGAGGGAAGGCAGCTAGTCATCACCACCTACCGCCAACTCTTGAGCTACTTTTTTACCAACGAATAGTGGGATTGACCGTTACATTATAACGCCCCCACGGCTGAAAGGGCGAGCATGTTTGGTGTGACGGGGATTCGAACCCGCGACCCCCAGATTGCGAGTCGAGCACCCTAACCACCTGGCCATGCCGGGCCTCACAGATAAAAACGGACAATTGAGTCAAGCGCGGTAGTGACCGTAAGTAAGTGCGTGAATCATTGTGAATTATAGCGTG